TCCTTGTCTTTGTGCCCCTCAGGATCACACCTCGACACCCAAACCCTGAACTCCACACACTCTGCCATGCACACCGGAGGAGAGCTGGAGCGGAGGGCTGCGGAAGTGGCACACCTGTCCTCTAGGCCAATGGCATGATCTCTGTAAGGGACTTCCTGTAGTCTCCTATTCGCATGAACGACTGACTGTAGACGCATGACCTACATACAGTCCTCAATCCTGCCTCTAGCGACGATGGATCTCTGTTGGGAATCAGGACAAACGCCTCAAGAAGGGGGGTGGGGAGAGAGAGAGGGATAGAAAACAAGCGCAAGAGAGTGCGTGAACGCAAAAGTCAACAAGGGCTCTTTTGTGCTTGGGGAATGATCTATTTTTAAAAATCATTTTAATTTTGACTTGTTACAGGGTACTGTTTTTTTCAACTTCATCTGTAGGAAATCCATGTGGGCTTCCTGGAGAGAAAAAAAAAAAAAAAGAAAACTAGGCACAAAATCAGTTTGGCACCTTAGTCCTATGTCCTCATCTGCCAGCCTTCCAGGCAGCAGACACACACTTCCATTCCATTTGTGACCTCCCTGCCCACTCCCCAGGGGGCTGCTCCTCCCAGAACTGTCTACATGACATTCAGGACACACGCACAGGCACACATACACACAAGCACCTCTCCCCTCTCCTCAGTGTACACACAGATTTTACTGTGACATCCCAAGCTGTATAGAATCTCCTGTGGATAAACTGGAATTTTTTTATGTTGTCTCTCTCTCTCTCTCTCTCTCTCTCTGCCAGTTTCAGTATTAATCATCTTCCAATGGAAAATCATTACCTTTAGAGTGCATTCGGGGTTCCTTGTGTTAGGGACATAAGAATCTGAGGCGAGGACCCCCCCCCAGGCTCAGCTGTAGGGCTCAGAGGGCGCCAGTGCCCCATCTGAAGGGGTATTCTGGCTCAGCTGGGGGGGCCGGGTGGCTGTCCCAGGATTGCACCAGCATGTTCAATAGACAAGAGGTTTCCTATATCTTCAAGCACTTATATCATAGTCTGTGTTCAAAGTGTAAACTGTACAGTAATCAGCCTTGTGTATATGAAAAACAATAAATACTATGCAAACCAATAGAAACACTTTAGCAGTATGTACAAAGCACTAACAGCTCAGCTCCTGAGGACTTCTCCGGGCTGCGGGAGAAGGAGCTACAGCCTGCCTTTCAGTGAAAGAGGAAGGAAGGGAGTAGGGCTAGTGAATGTACCTGCCGGTTCTTAGAAGTCAGGCCCCCCAGGTCTCCCAGAGCCGACTCGGTGCTCTAAGTCCAGGCAGCGCACAGGCTGGGGGCCGAGGCTGCGCAGCCTCAGTGTCCCGCTCTGACCAAGCCCCCGCCCCCGCCCCCGCCGCAGCCCGAAGAGGGGGCGACCCCGGCCCGGGAGAGGACGGAGCGGCCGGGCGAGGGGGGAGCCCCGCTGGGCCAGGCCCCCGGAGCAGGACGGAGACAGACGGCTGGCTGTTCCTCGCCTCGGTGCCACCAGGGAAGAGCCTTAACGTCCCACCGGAGCCTCCGGCGAGAGGCCCGAATCAGCACAATGCGCCGCGCCCGGCCCGGCCGCCCGGGGGCGCCCTCCAGGGCCAGGAGGGACCTGGCCGGCTCTTCTCGCTCCCGCTCCCGCTCCCGCTCCCGCTCCCGCTCCCGGGGGCCGTGTGCGGACGTCCGCCCCCCGTCCCGCTCCTCGGGCTGTCCGCACACACGTCGATCCTTCCAGTAGCACAGACGCCCCCTCCCCGCAGCCCCGCGGCCCTGGTGCCCGTCACCAGCGCACAGGTCGGCGGCGGAGGCCTCGGGACCCCGCGCCGGGGCTGCGCGCTGAGTCCGGCACGAGCGGCCCGCGGAGGGGGCCCCGAGCTGCGCCCCCCGCCCCCCCCCCAAGGCTCGGCCGGGGACGGGGACGGGGACGGGGACGGGGGAGGGGAGCGCGGCGGCCGCCCCGCGCCCCGCACGGCCCCGCTTGGCTCGCTCCGCTGCGCCTGGCATGGCTGCTTGGCCCTCCGGCCCCAGGCCCCCGGCGGCTTGGCTGCGCGCTCCGCTGCTAGTAGGAGCTCTTAGGGGAGGACTTTGGGGTCTCCACACGATGCCTAGAGAATGCTGCAGTCTGCACCTTAGATGCTTTTTAGAAGTTTTGGAATAACCTTGATTTTTTTAATTGTTATGGAAATGACTCTTTTCTTGACTCTCTCCCAAATGCTCTGTTATGGGGAGAGAACCCCCCACCCCTGCCCACTGCCCCACTCTGATGTATAGACCATTCTCCCTACACCAGCTGAACAAATGTCAAAATTAATAAAGAAATTGACTCATGGCAGGGGACTCCATCTCTCCTTCCTGGCTGGGCCTGGGGGCATCTGAGGGGCTGGGGCAGGAGTGAAGCGGCGCTGGGCCCTGATGGAGTCCGGGCGTGAGATCGGTCAGGTGCCTACTTCCAGGAAACCTACACAGCCCCTTATCCTCCCACCAAATCCCACCAAACCCCTGGAGTGGATAGAACAGATTTGTCTCCGAAGGGTTACCATGAGATGGGGGCAGGTCCATGGTGGGGGGAGGGGGACACTGCACACACTGGGGGGCGGGGGGCATGTGCATGGTTGAACCCACAGTACACGCTAAGGGAGATGGCCCAGTGCCCCCCTATGAAGGTATCTGGCCCCTGCACCCAATGCCATTCAAAGTTCGAGAACTTTTGAGAAAATTGCCCTGTTCCTCACTAGTTCTGAACACTTCATGAGGCTGGTCACCAAGCTGGCCACAGTTTTCCCATCTGTCAGATGGGGGAATGGATTAAACAACTGCTAAAGTCTCTATAGTTTGTCATCCTGGGATTCCCAAACATGAACGCCTTTGTCAAGCCTGACATTTATTAGAATCACAATATTTGCTGCAGCTTTCTTCCTCATAAGTTCCCATCAGGGGTGACAAAGTCAAGTCGCAGGGGCTGAAGAGCACTGCCAGCCCTCAAACAGTCTGTAGCTTCTCCCTCAATATCAGAAAAGACCCCCAAGACAAGGCACCAGTCCAGGCAGTGCAGCCGTCTCACCCAGAGAGGTTTGAAAAACAGTTTCAGGATCACAGTCGCCTGGGTGGGCTCAGGCAGCAACAACATGAGAATCGGAATTAAGTGTCCCAAATGGTTGTGATGGGCAGCCTGGGAGCACAGCCAACTCCGGTAAAGTCCTTTTTTTTCTTGTTTCTAGCCTAAATTCCTAGGGAAATAATCTCCACAGCCTGTGTGAGGTCTTTCTCGTATTAAGCTGCACACCTCAGAGAACATGGCTGGGAGCAGCCAGTTCCACAAGGAACAGGTAACAGCAGCGTGGGGAGAGGTGGGCTCTGGGTGAGAGGGGAGCTCTCCTCGGGTCCTGGGTCCAGACTTGCAGCTGGAAGCCCTGGAGAAGGCCAGCGAAGAGCACCTCTTTCCTCCACCTGCCAAAGTGGGAGCACGGAGTGTTGAGAGAGCCAAGGAACCCACAGCCTGATCAGGAAAGGCTTCAGAACTGCCCAGCAGAGGGGGACAGAAGTCTCTCTGCCTGACAGTCACTATTTTCCTGTCATTTTACATGTTCAGTGGCATGCTGCTTTCCACTTTAAAAACAAAAAGAAAAACAACAATAACTGCAAGAAGAGATGCCACCCCATATGGAAATAACCGGGTATTCACCGTGGTTTCTCTTTGTAAAATGGAAGACAGCCCCCAGTAGAGCCTTGTAGGTTATAAAAATTAATTAGAAAAAAAAGGCATATGGGTGCTCTGCAACTCAGTTTAGTCCCATCCATCAAATAATAACTGAGCACCAACCAAGTGCCTGCCAGGAGGACCCATCACTGAATCAACAGCCATCTCAGCCATCAGAGCTTTCCAACCCAGGTGCCAAGCCAGACAGAACATGGCAATGACTCCAGCAGAGGCACAGACGACTCCTCGGAGGAGGAAGATGGGAGAACGGAGGGAATCAGGAAAGGCTCCTCCAAGGCAGAGGGGGGAAGGGCACACGCCCAGCACGTGCAGAGCTGCTCCAATCCCACCTCCTGCCCCGGTCAGCCGGGCAGGCTCCCACTCCCAGGCTCTGAGGCCGCTCATGAGAGGCACATCCCCACCCCCCAGTACCCCAGCCAAAGCCCAGCCTCCCCACTTACCCATCCCAGCTTGGAGGAAGGAGGAGCTGCACCCACACTCAGATTCCACACTCTGGCTTGGACATCTGCTCAGAAGGAGGCCTGGGCACCCCAGGACAGCGACCCCTGAGCCTGGCCTCCTCACCCTCAGGGAGCAGGTGCAGGCACTGTAATTTCTAGCTGCCTCGGGAGCTTCTGGGGGCCCCAGGTACCCTCCTCTTCGTAGATGCTGGACTTGGGAACCAGGAGAGGTAGACCCTCTGAGAACGAACAGCTTCCAGAGCTCATTCTCTGTTCTCTCTCTCTCTCTCTCTCTCTCTCTCTCTCTCTCTCTCTCTCACACTCACACTCACACACACACACACACACACACACCCTGGCTGATTTTACAGTCAATCTTTCAAAGTGCAATTTGTCTTGGAAAAGCCAATGTGAGGCCTGCGTGGGTTTCGACCAATGGCGCCGCGCCTCTCGCAGCTCAGCCAGTCTCGGGTCTGTATTCTAATGGGCCATATCTTTATCAGGGAAATGTTGCTTCTCCGAACTTAAAACTTCTCATGAAGGGTCCCCAGATCCAGAGGCAGAGGAAGGGTCTGAGCTGAGGCGCGGGGAGCTGCCTTTCTCCGGGCTGGACCGGGAGAGAGCCAAGGGGCGCCGGGGAGGCCGCGCACCGGCCCCAGGAGCACCTGACTTCTGAGCCGCTGACGTAGGCGCTGGGCCCCTGGCCAGGGCTCGGGCCGCCCGGGACCCTCCGGACCTGCCATGGGCTCCTGGGTCAGAGCTCGGGGTCTCCGGCTGTAGGGGCCTGGATTCGGGCTTCTCACCTTGCCTCGCCCCGACCCGAGGATCATGGAGTCCAACCTGCAGGGGACGTTCCTGCTGAACAACACGCCGCTGGCTCAGTTCTCGGAGGTGAAGGCCCCCGTGTGCCAGTACTCCGTGCAGAACTCCTTCTACAAGCTCAGCCCCCCGGGGCTCGGCCCCCAGCTGGCCGCCGGGACCCCCCACGGGATCACGGACATCCTGAGCAGGCCCGCGGCCACCCCGAACAGCAGCCTCCTCTCCAGCTACCCCCACGTGGCGGGCTTTGGCGGACTGGGCTCCCAGGGCGTCTACTACGGACCCCAGGTGGGGAACTTCCCCAAGGCCGCCAGCGAGTACCCACCCCGGACCCGGAACTGCTGGGCGGACTCGGGCCAGGACTGGCGAGCCGGGCGGCAGTGCAGCCACAGTGAGTACGGCCGGGGCGGGGGGGGGGGGGGGGGGGGGGGGGCGGCTGGCGCCCCGCCATCAGGGCAGGTTGGGAGGGGCGCTCACACGGTGGGCCGTACGGCCTCCACCTGTCCTCAGCCCCGTGGCTCAGGGGGCACAGGTGTGAGTCCTCCCGTCCCCGTCCCCGGCAACCCCCCAGCTCTGCTTGGATGGGCGTCTCGGCCCCTCGCCCCCTCCCTTACCAGATGCTGCCTCAGCTGCCCTCCTAGAAAGCCCGGGGGGCTCCAGGTCTGGAGAAGACCACGTGGCACACCCAGAAGCCCGTGGCAGGTCCAGAGGGTCCCAGGTGGCCCGTGAGCTCACCTTCCTCCCCAAACTCAGAGCCCATGTCACTTCTTCATCCAGAGCAGGCAAACGCTGTCCCCGGTGAGAGGTTGCCAGAGCACCCCTTCCCGGATAGCCCCCCTCCCGGGCCCCAACACGACACCATTCAGGGACTCCATCTGGATCCTGCCTGTGATCCGGGGGGTGGTTTCCCCTGCCCTCCTCAGGGCTTATGTCAACAGTAGTGGCGACAACTGCTCAGCCTCTAGGAGCAGCAGCCAAGTCAAGTCAGACTTGGCCCAGTAGTAGTGGGGGGTGTCTCCCCACCCTACCATGCCCAACCCTGTTTTTGGAGAACTGGTACGGGGTCCCATGAGCCAGTCAGGGCCCGGAGGTGGTGGCAAGACCTCCACTGGCAGGTGAGGCTCACCCAGGAGGCAGGGAGGTAACAGTGGCTGCAGGAGCCATCCTTGTGCCACGGAGGCCCAGCCGGGACCTGGCAGGGGTGGAGGTGGAAGGAACCTGCACCTCTCTGCCATAGGGGCTTGGGGCCCACCAAGGAAACCCCAAACACATCGGCCCCTCCATCTGCTACACTGTCCCATAGCACACCCCTCACTCTACCCAAAACATGGCAAGTTCCATGCAGGCGAAGACCTCATCTCTTGGAACTGGTTTGGGGGGTGCTCTAGAGGCCTCGGTCTCTGGAACATCCATTGTCCCCTCCCCACCCCGCACTCTCTCCGCTACTCTTCAATCCCAAGTGCATAGCCACACACAGGAAAATACCTCAGTTGGTAGCTGAATCAACACACAGGGAGAGAGGACTGCAGAGGATAGTCTCTTGGGAAGTCTCTTCCCCTTCTAGTACCTCAGTTTCCTTACCTCTAACATGTGGAGATGGGACATGAGCTATGGGGCCACCCTGACCAAGGCCCGACAGGTGGGCCTTCTGCCTCCCCGAGCCCTGCGGCCCTCCAGCCCGAGCAGCTGCCCCAGTGGTGCAGGAGCAGGGCCTGGACCTCTGCGTGCAGACTCTCCAGGGGCCTGAGGCCACAGGACTTCTAGGCCTGGTGACAAGGGCAAGCAGTAACTTGAGGCTGAAAGCTCTGGTTTTCTCAGAAACCTGGAAAGTGAGATCCCAAGAACAAGGAATTAGGCAGAGGAGGAATCCCCAGACCCCCTGAGGCCTTGGCTATTGGTGGAAGGTGCGTGGTGTGTGCCTTGGTGAGAAAACCAAGAAGATCCAGAAAAAAGTCCTGTTGCCCCTGGAGGGAAGGCAGCAGAACTGAGTAGTGAACATGACGCAGAGAAGAAGGAGACCAGGGCAGGTTGTAAGCTCCCTCTGCCCCTAAGGAGCTCTCACCTGAGGCAGGTGCCCTCTCGGGGTCCCTGACTGTCTGGACAGGGCAGAGGTCACAGTCACTATTGCCTCTTGATTAGCGGTGTCACGATGCCCTCACAACTCAGTGGCTTCTCCAGAGGAGGGAGCTCGCCCAGTGGGAGAGGCAGGACAGGGCTGGCACCCCCACTCATCCTGCTAACCACACACCTTCTTCCTCTCACCAGCCCCGGATCCCCTGAGCGACAGCATCCACAAGAAAAAGCACACCCGGCCCACCTTCACGGGACACCAGATCTTTGCCCTGGAGAAGACCTTTGAGCAGACCAAGTACTTGGCCGGCCCTGAGAGGGCACGGCTGGCCTACTCGCTGGGGATGACGGAGTCGCAGGTCAAGGTGAGTCTGTGTGGGAGAAGGGCTCTGCCTTCGCGGGCGCGGCCTGCCAGGACGGGATACCGCTGCGCAGGAGAAAAGCACTTTGCTCTCCCAGCAACTCCGGCTCTCGGCCGAGGCCGTCCTGCTGTCTGGGCGCTGCCTGCCCAGCGAGCCCTGGAGAGGGCGATAATCACCATAACCAGATGTCAATACTCTATTTGGAGAGCGATGAGTGTAGGAGTTCATTAAGCCTCACGGCAACCTGGAGGTGGGGATTCTTACCCACTTTACGTCCGAAGAAACCATCTCAGCTGAGCCTGTGGCTCAAGGTTGCCTGGCTGTTACCAGGCGCAGAGCTGGGACTCAATTCCAGAACTGCGGGGCACCAGTCTAATGCTTTCCCCTCCTCTGCACAGTGATGGCCAGAAATATCAAGAGCTCATGGCAGCCTCTGGCCAGTCTCTGGGCTGGCTCAGAACCACCAGCCTTATAGGATTGTTGCATCAGCTGGCAGGAGAAGCCTGCCTTGGTTTGCCAATAAGGCGAAGAAAACCCCTCCTTCCAGGTCCACCCAAATGAAGCCCGGGTGGGAAACTGGGGCAGGGAGCCTCCAAGCCGGAGGCAAGGGTCATGCTCACATCACTGGCCACCGAGCCTGAAATCAGTAAATGGGCTTCTGCCTCCAGGCTCCCAGAGAGAGCCGTGACGCTAGAGCTCTCCCAAGAGTCTTTGCCCAGGACGGGGGGGCCAAAAAGAAAGCTTTGAGGTGTTGAGGCAAGCCGGGAGCTGCCCAGCTCTGTGACACTACGATGGGCTTAAAAGCATAAGAGGGAAGGACAGGGGCTGTCACCTACGTCCACAGCCTCCCGGCCTGCTGACTCCAAGAGCCCTCTTTCCGACCTTTCAGTTTCTTTAGGCACTTGTCTGCCTTCTTCAGCTCTGCTAAGCAATGAAAATGTTACTTTTATAATTAGGAAGAAATGATTCACGAAGTTCAGTGAAGGCCTATGATGCACCTGCTGAACGCCCTCACCTGCGCATTCCAGCGTCTCCGTCCAAGTGCCCAGGTGGCAAAGGAGAAGACCCATCGCAGGGAGGAGGGCTCAGCAGAAGGGCTGCTGCACTTACACGCATTTGTTTCTATTTTACCCCAAACGGTGTGACTATTACCAGCTGGTCTTACTGAGCTATTTGTTATACTATGACAATCAGGACCCCGGGTCCCTGCCGCCGAGTGGGGTCACCCTCCTGGGGGCTGGTCCCCGTGCGTGCTGTGCGTGCACGACCCTCAGCCCCCCCCCCCCCCCCGCCCCAGGTGTGGTTCCAGAACCGAAGGACCAAGTGGCGCAAGAAGAGCGCCCTGGAGCCGTCGTCCTCCACGCCTCGGGCGGCGGGCGGCGGCGGCGGGGAGCGCGCGGCCTCGGAGACAGAGGACGACGAGTACAACAAGCCGCTCGACCCCGACTCGGACGACGAGAAGATCCGCCTGCTGCTCCGCAAGCACCGCGCCGCCTTCTCGGTGCTCAGCCTGGGCGCGCACAGCGTCTGACGCCCCCGCCCCGTCCCGGACCCCGCGGCGCCCCTGCTCAGCCCCGCCCCGCCCCGCCCCGCCCCGCCAGGGGGGCCGCGGCGCCCGGGGGGAGGGGGGCAGAAGGAGGGAGGGGGGAGGAGAGGGCGGAGGGCGGAGGGCAGGGGGCGGCGGCGGCGGTGGGGGGGTCCGTGCGCCCCCGGACCCGGCACCCGGGGGCCGTCCTGCACCCCTGGGGCCCAGGCCTGCCCTGCCCGCTCCACAAACTCACCAGGGCACAGGTAGATGAAAACGACCGGGCTCTGCGGCCAGGAACGTGGCTGTGGGCTCGTGGACTTGCCACTGTGATCTAGCTGGGGGCGGGGGGGGGGCATCCCCAGGAGACAGCTGGCGGGAGCAGAGGTCTGCTGCCTTCTGCTGTGGGAGCTGGGAGGCCAGGGTGCTGTTGGCTGACTGCAGAAGAAAAGATGACAAGTCCGGGTGCCACCCTCCGACCTTGGCACGGGAACGGTACCACTGGAGACCCCCAACTGGAGGAAGTGCACCTCAGATAGGGCGAGTGGGTCCCAGTGAAGGAGAAACACTCCTGACACCCCAATCAAGGATCACGTCCCTGGAGGGACACCTCCTCCTGGCCTCCTTCCTCCGACCTCCTCTGGGATTCCCCCAGAATAGGAAAAGACAAGACACCCCTTCCCTCTGCTGGGAAGGAAGGAGGTTGGAGGCAGAGGCAGAAAAAAACATGAGAGATTCCGAGGAGCTGATGCTGCACCCCAGAGCCTCTCACCTGGGCTTCCCTCTGTGCTGATACAAGGACCAGATCACCTGGGGACAGGGGAGATTGGCAGGGCTGGAAGTGGCCTAGAACCCCTGCTTCCCCAGCTGGGGTGCCCACGCAGGAAGGGAGAGGCCCCTGCAGGGACCGGAGGCACCAAGGGCCTGCATGGATCCCCTGGCACTTCCTTAGACTGCCCTGCAGCCTGCTGCTGGAGGTGGTGTAGTGCAGGGCAGTAGCCCGGTGGCATTCTTCAGCCCAGGTGATTCCCAGGTTGGGCAGGTGGGTGGGGCTCGGGAGGTGGGTGGGGGCTGGCCAGAGGAATGCAACCCAAGGGGACAGAGCATTTGCCCATCTTTACTGGCTTTTAAAATATAAAGAATAAAAATAAAAGTCCCAGAAACATCCCCATGGCTCATGTGCTTCTGTGAAACTGGCTGTGGAATCCCAGCCAAGCCTCTGTGGGGGGCATTCCCAAGGACAGGCCTCTTCTCCCAGGGTGGGGGATCTGTGCTCTGGGGGTCTGGAAACTTTGCATAGCACTGGTCAATTTGGAATTTCACTGGTCAATGCCAGGCACTGTCATAGGTGCTAAGAAACTGAAGACTTTAATGGGGCTCCTGACCTTCAGGAATTCACAGCCTCATGGGGGGAATGGTCCATTTGGGGAACTAGGTACTGTAAAGAAAAGATTGAAGGGGTGGAGAGAATAGAAGCACTGACATTAACTGCACACCCGCCCTACTAAATTCTCCCATGTGGAAGGCCTGGATGACCTCACTTGACCTCACAAGGAACCTAAGAGGTAGGTATTATGCTCGTTGCATGGATGAGGGAACTGGGGCTCAGAAGGTACCTAAGCCAAGTCACAGAAGGGGGATGGGGGCAAGCCAAAAGTGGATTCCAAGGATCTCGTGTCCACTTGCCCCAGGCATAGCCCCTCAAAGCCTTTTCTGTGAAATGAGAGGCCAAAACAAGGTGTGCTTTCAGGACCCTTCCAACCTGAATGATCTGTGCAAACACCAACAGGGTCTGAGAAGTGAGGCAGCTGCCCCTTTGCTGTCCCAAGTCCTTTGTTGGTCCCTTGGGCCCCCAGAATGGGAGACTCTGGCCAGGGGAATCAGCCTGGAGTGAGAACAAGGGAAGGAGGAAGACCCCAGCTGGGCCTCTTGGCAACGGAGGCACCAAGCTTTCATAATAACCCCAGTGGACCCAGAGGACAGGAGTGACTGACAAGAAAACATAGAATGCGTTTAAGTTCTAACCTTCAATCCACAATGGTGCCCACACTCAGTGTTTATGGAGGTACAGTGGGAAGGAGACGAGAAGGCAGCTTATAGGAACTGAGTGCCATCTCTGTATGCAGCTGGCCACAGGCTGCATTGAGGAACCCTCCACTGACTCGTGGGGCCTGAGTGGGGCCCCCACAGCCATGCTGCAGCAGGTGGGACAGCAGCCTGGGGGCACCCCAGGATTCACTCAGCATGGCCCCCAAAACAAAAAACCTCTGTGGGCTCTGGGGAGCCAAGTGCCGCACAGTGTCTCTGGAGCACTTTGAGGAGGGCATGCGGCCTGAGGGCCCAGAGGAGGCTGCTAACGTAATCCATGGGCAAAGTTATTAAGCAGGTACAGAGGAAGAGGCCAGCGGTCCCCAACATTGAGCTTGTTTGCTTCTTTTGTAAGCATATTATAATCCCAACTGCTCTCTTACCGTTGTAATTCTTGCGTGTTGATTCAGGTCCTTGGGGTCAGCATTAAATCAAGCCTGGGGGAGGTTTTTTTCCTGGGGAGATATTTGCTGAGCTAAACAAAATCTTCTCCAGTCTCAAAATTCCAGGACACCTGCCGTTGGAACCTCTGGCTCAAAGACTCCATCCTCCCAGACATCTCCTCTATCTCTCTCCTACTCTCACGGGCAGCCCGAACACAGGTACCCAGCGAGGCACAGCTACTGCCTCATGCTGCACTCGGAAGGAGGAGAAGAACCCAAGGTGAACGGCCCAGATGCCCAAGGGCAATCTGGAATAAGGCTTGTTCTCTGCAGATATGCACCTACATGGTGTGTGAGTGTGTGTATGTGTGTGTTTATGTGTGTTGCGGGGGAGAACTCAAGGCTACGTCCCTTCATCTATCATAAAGAAATAATAAGCCATAGGCATTTTTTAAAAGACTGTATTTATTTGAGAGCTCAAGAGAGTGGGATCAAGAGAGCATGCATGAACAGGGTGGAGGGGTAGAAGGAGAGGGGTAGAGGGAAGAGGGAGAAGCAGATTCCCTGCTGAGCACGGAGCCCGATGTGGGGCTCAGCCCAGGACCCTGGGATCATGACCTGAGCTGAAGGCAGACACTTAACCAACTGAACCACCCAGGCATCCCGGCCATAGGCATTTTATGCCTGGTTATAAAAGGGATTTCTTGTATGTCCGGAGTTTAACAAAAATCCAAAGTTATTTTGGAATTTCACGCCTCTTGCAAGTCCTCTCCTACCACATCACAAACTTTTCAGGGATGAGACAAGGGGGAAGAAATGAAATCCTGGGTTTCCAGTAGACACAGAGTCGTGCTCTAATGGGCAGCCCAGGAGGCTCTAAGAGACAGATTGTCCCAAAGCCTCCCATTGTGGCTGCCAACGAGAGAAGGACACAGGACACATCCTGCCAGGCTGGGTGCAAGTACGGGGATGGCAGTGTCTTACCGAGTTGGGAATGGCCACATCCTGATCTCAACAGTTAAAAAGGAGATGGGGTCATGGAATTCCACTTCTGGCAACCCCCCCTCATACTCAGGCCCCTCCAGGGGTTGGGGCTGGGCGCCACTGACCCGAGGCTTCTCCTGCAGCATAGCATAGAGGACTGTGTTCAGTTCCATCCTGGCTCTGCCCTGGGCCCTGGGCCGGTTACTCAGTCACCGAGCCTCAATATATTCATCTGTGACACAGCCCTTGCAGCGGCTCTGTGAGGTCAGAGCCAATGAGTGTGCCCAGCATATGCAGACCCTCGACAGGACCTGCTGCATTTTCCAGAGGGCTTTGAGGTTCCAGTCCTGTGTCACCAACTAGGAGTTGGGTCATGTGACTGAGTTAGTTAACCTCTTGAAATCCAGTTTCCTCATTGTAAAATGAGGCTGACAACCCACTCCGCATGGGCAGAGAAGATAAAGGCAATTGCAGACCATGCATAGAGCAGCATGAGCACATAAACATGAGCATGCTCATGCTCTCTCCGCCGTCCACAAGCTCATGCCTCCAGGGAGCGGCAGAGCCAGTGCTAAACAGTTCTCCACGATGGAGGGACCAGGGACCAGCAACCTGTTCCTGCCAGCCGTTTAGCCCCGGCAGGCCACCTGCTACCTGGGCCATTATGGAAGGATTTGTGTGTGACCAGGCTCGTTGACCTGCAAACTGCCTGAGATTTTGGCCTTCTGGGAGGGGCTGAATTCAGCTTGCAGATGTGTTTCTTCAGGGGCAGACTGTGCTTTTATAGAAAAGTGATAGGCCTAGCAGCAGGGCATGCCTGGTGCAGTAAGGGGTTCCCGGGCACTTCTGGGTGCCTGGGCTCCACATGGCTACCTGGCCTGCCTGGCCCCTGAAACCCCTGGGTCTGTATGGCCTGCCCTGAAGCCTTGCTACTCTAAGACATGATCTGGGCACCAGCAGCGGCCTCACCTGGGACTTGTTAGAAACACAGACCTGCAGGCCCCAATCCAGAATCTGCCTTTTAACTGGATTCTCCCATGCACACCAGGCACGCTACAGTGTGAGAGGATCCAGAGTGGGTACTGCTGTGTGAATGTGTGTGGCTAACACTTCTCTTCTCAGAGCATGGAATCTGGCCCAAATTGGGTGCTCAATAAAAAGTGGTTCAATGGGGATCCCTGGGTGGCGCAGCGGTTTAGCGCCTGCCTTTGGCCCAGGGCGCGATCCTGGAGACCCGGGATCGAATCCCACGTCGGGCTCCCGGTGCATGGAGCCTGCTTCTCCCTCTGCCTATGTCTCTGCCTCTCTCTCTCTCTCTCTCTCTCTCTCTGTGTGTGTGACTATCATAAATAAATAAAAATTAAAAAAAAAGTGGTTCAATGGATACAGATGAGCATAGGTACACTCATAGCATTTGTGACCACGGAAAACATAGTCAGGACCCGACTGTGGGCAAAAATTTTAAGATTTTTTTAATATATTTATTTTTTTATTGGTGTTCAATTTGCCAACATATAGAATAACACCCAGTGCTCATCCCATCAAGTGCCC